ATAAACAGAGTCTCAAAAGGTGTTTAGTCCAAAACCTTCAGAGAAAATATATTTGTATGAAGGAACAGCTCCGCTGAGGTCATGGTGTTGTTGGCAATGTGCTAATGGTTAAGCCACTAACTACTTTTTTTTTTGCAGTTTTCTTTTTTTAACATTTTTTAATTTTAAATAGCTTGTTTTACATGTCAATCCCAGTTCCCTCTCCCTCCCCTTCTCCCACACTCCCCCACCATCCCCCCCATCCTCCCACCCTATTGCCAATTCCTTCCACATAGGGCATACCTAGAGTCTATCATTTCATTCAGGGTAGGGTCCAGGCACTTCCCTAAGAGTCCAGGCAGAGAGAGCAACCCTCTTTGTGTTATGGACTCATTGATGCCTGTTAGTATTCGAGGGATAAACACTGATCCACTGCTCAGGACCCCATAGGTAGCCCAGGCCTCCTCATTGACTCTCACATTCAGGGGGGCTGGATCGGTCCCATGCTGGCCTCCCAGCTGTCGGTCTGGGGTCCAAGAGCTCTCCCCTGTTCGGATCAGCTGTCTCTGCTGGTTTTGCCAGCCCATTCTTTGCCAATTTGCTCTTCGCTCCTCTCTCTCTGTCGCTGAGTTCCTTGGGTTCTGTTCAGTATTTAACTGTGGAAAAAAGAAAGCATCTTCAGCAAATGGTGCCGGCATAACTGGGTACTGGTATGCAGAAGACTGCAGATAGATCCATGTTTATCACCTTGTACAAAACTTAAGTCCAAATGGATCAAAGATCTCAACATAAATTCAGCCACTAACTACTTTTTAAGACACCATGATTTTTTTCCTGAGCTTTTGTTGTGTAGCCCAGGATAGCCTTACACTCATCATCCTCCAGGCTCAGTACTTCTATTGCAACTGAGCATCACTGTGCTCCAGCGTGCTCTCTCTATATGGTTGTGCTCAAAATCATTCGCAAAAACTCACACAACCAACATTTGATCCTGAATGTTCTCAGACAATGAGGGTAATGTTGACTATAGAGTAGGGTGCATGTACAGTAAAACAAGTTAAAAGCTTTGAACAACACCAAGTTGACTGTTCTCTGATTCTCAGTCATTTTATGTTTGCTTTCATTTACTTTTGCCAAGCACCAGCACAGAAAGAGAATTCAGGGTAGACCAGAAGCATAGCTTGGGACTCAGAAAACAGGATGAAGAGTTTGATTATCCAGCTGTAGCTGCTCTGGGGCCTCTTCTGACTCTATAGTCTTGCTTTGCTAAGATTTTACCAAAATAATAACTGGAATCAACGAGGAAGAATCACAGATCTGTGGGGCATTAGTGGCGCAGGCCCTTAATTTACTACTTTCAGCATAACACCTACTCTTTTAAGACTTAGAAGCCTCCTACCTTATGCAATTATCAACTTAGATAGTGTTGAGAAAGACCAGTTTGAGTGGTGTAGAGGAGGAGGCATGGAAGCTTGCATACATGAAAAATTTGATGTGAAAGAGAAAAATTTGGTATTGTAATTGAAATATAAGAACTTCATAGGTTGAATTTTTTAAGCATGAAGTGGAGAATCTTTGAAAACCATGGAGCATTCTGTCATGCTTTCTTTTTTGGAAGGCTATATAAAATCAAGCTGATTAGAAAGCCTTGGGTCTGACCCTTGGCAGCTGGGCCAGCAATGGGATCCTGACTCATGCCTGGACTTAAGTCCTCAGGAATACATCTGCACTAAAAATGTGGAGTTGCGGTGGCCCATCTGCTCTGATTTTAGCTTCCCAGCATTTCTCTAAGGTCCTTTAAGAGCCAGAACTGGGTAGAAAGGGGGAGGGCAACAAGAATCCCATGTAACATACTTGTCATGTAATGCATTTATAAATCACTGTTGGGATTTTGACTTACAAGACACAGAGGACTCTATCGTATAACATCTGTTACTAGTAGCAATGAACGTTCTGGCTGCAATAGTCCCTTTCCTTCATTGAACTTTCTGCTAGTTTGAAATGGGGAATTGGAGCCCAAGAGTAGCTTTTGCTGGTAAAAATCAAGTTAGTGGCTGACCGCAAGCATTTCCAGGCTCTGCAACCAGTAAGACAGTAAGTAGGTCATATACACAAAAGCTCTTCCCTCAGTTCCTAAACTCTAAGGCCCCTGGCAAGCACAGATTCCCCTTTACATACACTTAGAAGTGCTAAATTTTGGCTTAATATCCTGCTGTCGCTATCCGAATATCCTCAGATACTTTTAAACAAAGTGCAGTTTTTATTTTGCAAAGTCCACACTTTATCTTCAGTCCTGATCCCCACTTCCTAAGATTCTAGGCAACTATTTTTGTATCTTCAAGCAAGTGGGCCTAGAGAAACTAAAAGTGTTCAAGTAAACTTAATCATTAGAGGATGTCTGGTAAATGATTTTAGCCTGAATGAATGACCTTAAAATTCAAAAATAAAAAGTTAATCTAGGTTTTAGTTGATTTGGCTTTGATAGGTGTGGAATGGGGGAGGTCATTCAGAATTTTGAGGAAACATATGTAAAGGTAGTTTTTAAAAGCCCTTTAGTAATGTAGAAGACCGCAGATAGATCCATGTCTATCGCCATGCACAAAACTTAAATCCAAATGGATCAAAGACCTCAACATAAATTGAGCCACACTGAACCTGTTAGAAGAGAAAGTGGGAGGTACCCTTGAATGAATTGGTACAGGACACCACTTCCTGAAAATAACACCAGTAGCACAAACACTGAGATCAACAATTAATAAATGGGACCTCCTGAAACTGAGAAGCTTCTGCAAGGCAAAGGACACAGTCAACAAGACAAAACGGCAACCCACAGATTGGGAAAAGATATTCACTAACCCCACATCTGACAGAGGGCTGGTCTCCAAAATTTATAGAGAACTTAAGAAGCAAGTCTCCAAAACACCAAAGGATCCAATCATATAGTAGGGTACAGAACTAAATAGAGAATTCTCAATAGAGGAGTCTAAAATAACTGAGAGACACTTAAGAAAGTGCTCAACATGCCTAGCCATCCGGGAAATGCAAATCAAAACAACTCTGAGATGTCATCTTACTCCTGTCAGAATGGCTAAAATAAAAAACTCCAATGACAGTTGCTGGAGAGGATGTGGAGAAAGGGGAACACTCCTTCACTGCTGATGGGAGTGCCTACTCATACAGCCACTTAGGAAAACAGTATGGAGATTCCTCAGAAAAATGGGAAATTAGTCTACCACAAGACCCAGCAACTCCACTCTTAGGCATATATCCAAAAGATGCACATTCATACAACAAGGATGTTTGTTCCACTATGTTCATAGCAGCATTATTTGTGATAGCCACAACCTGGAAGCAACCTAGATGCCTCTCAACTGAAGAGTGGATAGAGAAAATGTGGTGCATTTACACAATGGAGTACTACTCAGCAGGACAAAACAATGGAAACTTGAAATTTGCAGGCAAATGGATGGCACTAGAAGAAACAATCATAAATTAGGTAACCCAGTCACAAAAAGAGAAACATGGTATGTACTCACTCATATATGGATTTTAGACTTGAATCAGGGGAGTGCCAGCCTACAAGCCCACTGCCAGAGAGTCTGGGACACAGAACCTTCATCCAGAGACTGATGGAAGCAGAGCCAGACACCCACAGCTAAACACTGAACTGAACTCTTGGAATCCAGTGACAGAAAGGGAGAACTGATGAGTAAAGGGGCTAAGACTGGGATGATTTAACCCACAGAAACAGTTGACCTGAGCAATGGGGAGCTCTTGGGCCCCAGATTGAAGGCTGGTAGAAAGCATGGGACTGATCCAGACCCCCTGAATGTGGGTGTTAGTGAGGAGGCCTAGGTAATCTATGGGGCCCTGGATAGTATTTATCCCTGGTGTACAAATGGACTTTGACTGTTCATCCCACAATGAGGGATGCTCTCTCAGCCTGGACTCTTGGGGGAAGACCTAGGCCCTGCCCTGGATGAAATGACAGACTCTGGAGATTCTCCATGGAGGCCCTCTTCCTCCCTGGGGAAGGGAGTGGAGATTGGGTGGGGGCTCGGGGGTCCTGTTGGGGGATCAGGGGAGGAGGGGAGGGAGAGGGAGATGGGATTGACATGTGAAACAAGCTTGTTTCTAACTTAAATTTTAAAAAAGGAGGAAAAAAAGACAAAAAAATACTTAAAATTTTCATTGTCAGGCAATGAAAAAGATGTATTCAATCCTATTTTAAAAGCTGTTTTTAACATGTCTGTTCCATCTTACATTCCCATCAGAATTATGTGAGAGTTTTGCTTTGTTCAGTATTATTTTGCACTTGCTTTTGTTATTGTTGTTGAACCTGGATTTTTAAAAAAAAAGCCCGTTAGTATAAACTTCCTGTGTGTTTTCATCATCATATGTGCAGCTATTATGGTATACCCTCCATGGAATGAGGCTTTGAATTCTCCAAATTATGAAATGAGTACATTATTTATAACACCTAGGTTCTGTTCTCTATGCAACTGGAAAGAGATCACTATTGAGTATTTTCTCTTTCATTTCTCAAACTAGCTAATAATTTTACTGACAATTCTGAAGTTCTCTTGGCACCCAATTGTGGTGCTACATGGCAACCTTACTTGATGTTTAAAATTTAGAACAAAAACACACATTTCTCTTAAGCTTAAAATATATCTGAACAGTCCAACACCTAAGGGAGTCTTCTGGTTGAAGTTTTCCTGTGTGTTAAGAAACCTGAGGGAGTTGGATAGGTGACTCAGCAGTTAAGACTGCCCCTCATGAGGACTAGAGTGCAGATATAAGCACCTATGTAACCAGCCATGCATCCCTCAGATGCCTGTGACCCTAGTCTTGAGAGATTCCAGCAATGTTTTCTGGGCTCAGACACACCTGCGCCTGCATACACCCGTACACATACACTAATAGAAATACATGTACACATAAGTACAATGAGTCTTAGAAACTTGGAATTATATGTTTCATATCCATTTTTCAAATGCTGTATTTTCATTATCCAACAGATTCTATACAATTCGATATAGAGAAAAAGATAAAGAAAAGAAATGGATTTTTCAACTCTGTCCAGCCACTGAAACAATTGTGGAAAATCTCAAGCCCGATACCGTTTATGAATTTGGTGTGAAAGACAACATAGAAGGTGGGATTTGGAGCAAGATTTTCAACCATAAGACTGTTGTTGGAAGTGAGTATCACTGGTTCAATAAAGCTTTTATTCTTTTCTAATTGTCTACTTTAAATCACTTCGCTAGCTATATAATATGAAATGAATTCATTTCCAGTTATTTCCAATAGTTATCATGTTCTAGTATTTAAGAAAATACAAAATGAACAGAATTTAAATATTGATACTTCAGAATTTTTGTAATGTGATTTTTAAAAATACATAATGAGTAACTTGATATTTCCAGTGATGTCATTGTAGTACTTTGAAATATATCTTTGATCTATGAACATCAGCTGAACTGAACAAATAAAATGCCAGTATGTGTAAATATCACACAGGATGGTAGGTATTATAATTTAAAAAACAAAACAAAACAAAAAATGGCAGGAAGAAGTCATCCCATACAACAGGGCTCACATGGGAGTTTTATTGGGAAAGGAGAGAGAAGGGGCAGAGAAGTAGGCAGAGAGGGGGGCTTAGGGGGTTAGAGGCCAGTCCCTGGGGACACGAGTGGTGGGAGAGAGACAGGAGATGGGCAAGGCCAGCATTTTATAAGGACATGTAGGGAATGTGCACAGATGAGGATGTATTTTGTCAGGACCCTAAGGGCAGGCCAGTTCAGATGCCTGAATACTAACAGTAGGCCAATGGAAGTGGACACAACCTACTACAGGGAGTCCTGAACATCTCTTCCTTTCCTTTGTACTCACACATCATTGGAATCAATGTTTGAAATGATAATAAATGAAGCTACATGCCAAAATATAGAGAGTGAGACTTGGAATTGTCTCCACAGTGAGCTAGAATTGGTTAAGGGGTAAGAATGAAAATGATGCCAGTTCCTCCTTGTTTTCAGGTAAAAGCAAAGTAAACGGGAAAATCCAAAGCACTTATGACCAGGTCCACACAGTGGTAGGTACCTATATTCTTTTAAGATTTTTTTCCTTAAAAAGAATTATATCTGCATTGTGTTTCTACTTAGATGAGAGAGACAACCCTACTGTGAGGAATTGGGGCTATCTACTCCACACTGGGTGAAATGTTCAATGATTTGGGAATTAGCTGCTTTTGTTTGGAAAATGATGAAATATGCTCCCAACCACTTACTAGTTTGTTTGAAGCTTTACAATTCAGAGATTCAGTGCAATTATCCTAGTATTTGAATAGAGTATATTTTGAGTGTTTGTTTATTCTGCGTGCGTGTGTGTGTGTGTGTGTGTGTGTGTGTGTGTGTGTGTATACACCACATGTGTGCAGGTGCCATAAAAGCGCACGAGGGCATCAGATTCCTGGAACTGGAGGTAAAGACAGCTGTAAGCCACCGGTGTGAGTACTGGGAATCAAATGCAGGTCCTCTGGAAGAGCAACAATTGTTATTAGCCACTGGATAAGTTGTTTTTATATAACACTTTAAGAGCTGATGGATAGCTACATGTTCTAGGTACACTGGTAAAGTTCAAATGTAGATGGAGTTTTTGTTTCAGCTGGTCCTGCTGCCCTTCAGTCCCAAATTGTCACTGTAACAATAAACGTCACACTTGTTGAGGGTATAGGTACTGTTTATTGTAGAAATTACTTACAAGAGAAAATGAGCAACCAAGGTGAGTCAGCAGGATTCGCCACAGAACCGGAAACTGAAAAAAAGAGCATGCTTCTTGATTTTTGACAAAGAAGCTAAAACTGTACAATGGAAAAAAGAAAGCATCTTCAACAAATGGTGCTGGCATAACTGGGTACTGGCATGCAGAAGACTGCAGATAGATCCATGTTTATCGCCTTGTACAAAACTTAAGTCCAAATGGATCAAAGATCTCAACATAAATCTAGCCACACTGAAACTTTTAGAAGAGAAAGTGGGAGATACTCTTCAACGAGTTGGTACAGGAGACCACTTCCTAAACATAACACCAGTGGCACAAACACTGAGATCGACAATTAACAAATGGGACCTTCTGAAACTAAAAAGCTTCTGTAAGGCAAAGGACACAGTCAAAAAGACAAAAAGGCAGGCCACAGAATGGGAAAAGATATTCACTAACCCTACATCTGACAGAGGGATAATCTCCAAAATTTACAAAGAACTCAAGAAACAAGTCTCCAAAACACCAAAGGATCCAATTAAAAGGTGGGGTACAGAGCTAAATAGAGAATTCTCAATAGAGGAGGCTAAAATGGCCAAGAGACACTTAAGAAAGTGCTCAACATCCTTAGCCATCAGGGAAATGCAAATCAAAACAACTCTGAGATACCATCTTACTCTTGTCAGAATGGCTAAAATCAAAAACACCGAAGACAATTTATGCTGGAGAGGATATGGAGAGAGAGGAACACTCCTCCACTGCTGGTGGGAGTGCCGACTCATACAGCCTCTTTGGAAATCAGTATGGAGATTCCTCAGGAAAATGGGAATTAATCTACCACTAGACCCAGCAATTCCACTCTTAGGCATATATCCAAATGAGGCAAGTTCATACAACAAGGGCATCTGCTCCACTATGTTCATAGCAGCATTATTTGTAATAGCCAGAACCTGGAAGCAACCTAGATGCCCCTCAACTGAAGAGTGGATAGAGAAAATGTGGTACATTTACACAATGGAGTATTACTCAGCAGAAAAAAAAACAATGGAATCTTGAAATTCGCAGGGAAATGGATAGCACTGGAAGAAACCCTCCTGAGTGAGGTAACCCAGTCGCAAAAAGACAAACATGGTATGTACTCACTCATATATGGATTTTAGACATGGATCAGGATAGTGCCAGTCTGCACTTCCACTGATAGAGAGTTTGGGAAACAGGAAAGAACCTAAAAGATATGCATATATGCATAGTACCCAAGAGAAGAGGATTGAGACAAGATCCCCTGAATGGATGGGGAACATGGCGAGGGGTGGGGGGGGAGTGGGACCTGGGAAGAAGAGAGGGGGTGAAGAGGAAGAGAGTTGGTCATGGGGGAACAGGAAGTTGAGGGGGTGGGGGTAGAATAGGGGGAAGAGGGAATCATAGGATTGAATACAGATCAGGCACCAGAGTGACCTCGAGTGATCTAAAGGGATAACACCAATTGGCAAGCTAAGCAATAGTGGAGGGACCACCTCGAATGCCCATTCCTGATAATGAACTTGATGTCTATAACCATCCGGGAGCCTTCATCCTGTGACTGATGGAAGCAGAGGCAAACACACAATTAATCATTGAACTGAACCCAAGGAACCCAGTGACAGAGAGAGAGGAGTGATGAGCAAATTGGCAAAGAATGGGCTGGCAAAACCAGCAGAGACAGCTGATCTGAACAGGGGAGAGCTCTTGGATCCCAGACCGACAGTGGGAAGGCCAGCATGGGACTGATCTGGACCCCCAAAATGTGAGTGTCAGCGAGAAGGCCTGGGCAACCTATGGGGCCCTGAGCTGTGGATCAGTGTCTATCCCTGGTATTCAAACTGTCTTCATGTGCCTATAGCACAAAGAGGGATGCTCTCTCAGCCTGGACTCTTAGGGGAGTGCCTGGACCCTACCAAGAGTAAAATGACAGACTCTGATATCCCCTATGTGGAAGGATTTGGCAATAGGGTGGGAGGGTGGGGGAAAAGGGGAGTGCGGGAGGAGGGGAGGGAGAGGGAACTGGGATTGACATGTAAAACAAGCTATTTAAAATTAAAATTAAAAATGATAAAAAATTATGAATTAAAAAAAAGGGCGTGCTTCTCTCCTGCAGAGCCTTTTATTAACTCCTCCAGACACACCTCTAGCCATGCTCAAAGTGGACATGGTTAGCAGTGCAGTTCACTGCACGATTACCACATCCATATGTGCCTCTAGCAACATGGCTAGTGGCTCGGTCCTAATGCCTCTTCCCACACCAAATAAATATACACAGGGATGTATATTAATTATAAACTGCTTGTCCAATGGCTCAGGCTTCTTAATGGCTAGCTCTCTTAATTATTAACCCACTTTTATTAACCTACGTACTTCCATGTGGTCTTATCTTACTGAAGAATGCTCCAGCATGTTACTCCCTCAGCAGCTACATGGTGCCTCTCTGGCTTCTCCTCTCCTCAGAATTCTCCCCATTTGGTAACCCTGCCTATACTTCCTCCCTGGATACTGGCCAATCAGTGTTTTATTCATCAGCTAATAAGAGAAACATATATACGGAAGGTCATCCTCCATCTTTTAAATCTTTCTACATTTGGAATGATAAACAGCCTGTTTGGCTTTTAAATGTACCCAACCTTTCTCCGTTCAGTGAATGTTTGTATGTGTTTAGAACCTTACAGTTACCACCTGTAGTCCTCACTGGAGCTCTGAGGGTCTACATGCCTTCACTGTTTCCTCTCAGTTCAGTAAATGGGTCCTTAAGCATCATCCTGTCAATTATGTCTAATGGAAGGAGTTGTTAAAGCCATCAGTGAGAGATGTTTGCACCTCATTTCACATACTCAAGGATAAGGAGAAAGTTACCGTATTATTGAGCAGGTAGATGAGGCACCAGAGTGAGAGAATGGGATCTCTCACTAGAGTTGTTGTGTGTTGGAATTATACAGCTTGAGAATGTACCTTCCAGTCAGATGAGCACGAAGCTTAGTGAGTTTAGTGTTTCTCATTTTCCTTGTGAGATCACTTGGACCCTGCTATCCCTTCTCTATTACTCCCCAAACCCATTATCATGGTAATGGTCTCTTTTTTACTTTCTTGTTATCTGTACTTGGTCCAGGATATGCACTCACATCTGAAGATAAGAGAGAGCATGTCGTATTTGTTTTTCTGGGTCTGGGTACCTACCTATGGTCTTTTCTAGTTCCATTCATTTACCTGCAAAGTTCATGATTTCATCTTTTCACAGCCAAATAGTATTCCATAGTGTATATATTATCACATATTCATTATTCATTTGTCAGTTGAAGAGCATTAAGGTTGTTTCTGTTTCCTGGCTATTTCAATGAACATGGCTGAACAAGTATCTGTGGAGTAGGATGTTGAGTCTTTTGGGTATCTACCAAGGAGCATCATAGCTGGGTCATATGGTAGATTTATTTGTAGCATTTAAGAATTCTTCACTCTTATTTCCATAGTAGCTGGGCCAGTTTGCAATTCCACCAACAGTGAATGAAGATTCCCTTTTCCCAACATCCACTCTAGCATTCTTGGGTCATTCCCTTGATCTTTGGCATTCTGACTGGAATAAGATGAAATCTCAAAGTTGTTTTGATTTACATTTCCCTAACTGCTAGGGACAATGAACATTAAAAACATCTCAGTAGCATACTTTTTAAAACATATATAAATCAGGTAAAGCAGATTTTCTTTTAATTGCGTACTCCAGATTTTAGGCTAGGATAGTGCTGTCTTCTTCATTAATTCTTCCCTGATAAGAGTAAAGTATCCTTTATATTTTCTTAAGTTTGATTTAGTCTACCCTGTCAGCTATCAGATATTGAGATGGTGATGACTGCTTTCTTCCTGGCCTCATTTGATTGGCACTTTTTTGTTCATCTTTTCATTCTAAACTTGTACCTATCTTTAAAGCTAAAATACATTTCTTATAGACAATGAATAGGTGAATTTTGTGTCTTGATCCATTTAACCAGTCTGTATCATTTAATTTTAGCATTGATGTCATTTTATGTATTGATTTTTGATGGTTTGTGTTCTTAGTGTTACTTTGCATTTCTGTAACTAACTTTTTCTTTCTATAGTCCCTTGATAATTATAGGTTCAGTTTTCTTTTTAGTCTCTTGGCTGTATGTTCATTCCTCTCTTTAGCTTGAAATATTGCTTCCCGTATATTCTTTAGGTTTGGTCTGTTGGATACAAATTTGCTTAAGCTTTATTTTATATCATAGAAAGTTTTCCTTTCACCTTCACCTATGGCAGATGACTTTAATGGGTAACATAGTCTAAGTTGTCCAT